CAGAAACAATACAAAAATTACTGTATATAAGAATGTCCTAATTTGTGGCACAATATAAAATGATCCAGCATATATGTAACTGTAATCTAAGGAGAAAAGAGAATGATGAAGAAAAAATACTTAGTGAGATATTTGCTCAGAATGGTCTAAAACTGATGAAAGACATCAACTCACAAATCCAAAACGGCCAGGCAACACCAATTAGGAAAACTACAAAGGATACACATACCCATACACACACACCATGTATACAAATACCTGTCAACATGGAATTCCATATCCTGCAAAAATAGCTTAAAAAGCAAAGATAAGCCAGTACCAAAATGTTACATCCTGTATAACTTCATTCTTAAAATAGCAAAATTATAAAAAGGGGAGATGATTAGTGGTTACCAGGGGTAATTGCCAGGGGCCAAGGGAAGAGAGTTAGGTTTTACTAGAAAGGGCATTGTGAGAACCCCTCACATTTTGTATCTGAGCTGCACCAATATCAATATCCTCGTTATGATATTATACTATAGTTTTTGCAAGATGTTATCATTGGAGGAAACTGAGTAAAGGATCTATGGAATCTATGTTTTTTACAATTGCCCATGGATCTACTATTATCTCAAAGTAAAAAGATTAAAAATTGAGGCAAAGCAAATATATTTGGAGAAGATAAAAGCCAAGAGAATTTGTCTTTGTGAGACCTTCTCTACAAGAAATACTCAATTTTTTCAGACTAAGGAAAAACTATGTCAGCTTCAACCCCAACTCTAGGAAGCAATGAAGAACACCAGAAAAGGTACATTTTTGTATAAATATGGAAGACATTATTAATTGTGTGTGTGTATTCTTGAAACTGCACATATATCAATGTATGGGAAATCTCATAATTTAAAGTAAAGACAAAAAGGAGATAATGCCATCTGGAGACTGTCATATATGCTATGCTATTCATGGGAGAAAGGAGTAGAAAGTGCTATTTTGACAGCAAGGAGACTGATAGTGATTAATAAATGTGGTTGGTAAGAGAGTGGTCCCATGTAGAGGAGTTTGAAATCCCGAAAGACTTGGATTTTTTTAGGTCATCTAATACCCCCAAGCGTATTAAAGCCACTTCTCAAAATCTGTATTATTGATGAACTAAAGACAGTATATTGCTCTGTATTAATACCTTATAAATTCGTGTTCTAAAATCTACTTTGTGTGAGATCCATTAAAAAGAAAAAAAAGAACTTCAGTCATTATATCACTGCATATGAAAACCTATTTGAGAGAGATTGTCGACCTACATGTAAAGGCTGAGACAAGGAGGCACTGAGACTTTATTCTTGATCTTGAGGTAAGCAAAGATTTCTTGTGAGATTAAAGTCATGATAATCAAATCAAAAATGATAAATTAGACCTTATAAAAAAATCTTCACAAAACAGTATCAATAAAATAAACAGGCAAGTCACAGACTGAGAATATATTCATAAGACAAAGTATTTGTGTCCAGAGTATGTAAAGAACTCCTGGAACTCAATAATAAGACAAAATTTTTAAAGAGACAATAGCACACAGGAAGTTCACAAATGAAGATATATAAATGGTCAATACCCACATGAAAAGCTACTCACCATCATAAATCATCAGGATTAATCATTGATCATGCACATTAAACCCATTAAATGACATATTACCACCTGTTGCACTAGAATGTCTGTGTGCTCATGGTTGACCACAGCAAATGCTGGGGAACATGCACACAGCCAGGACTCTCACGTGGTGTTGGCCAGCGTGTAAAATGGTACAACCACCTTGGCACACTCTCAGGTTCTTAAAGTGCCAGATATCTAGGGCGCTATAGTTCCACTCCCTGGTATTTGTCCATTAAAGCCTTTAATAAGACATTTATAATAGTCACACTTTCTGCCAATCAACAGAATGGTGAACCACTTTGTTCAACCAGTTGAATAGCACTCAGCAGTAAAAATGGAATGAACTATGCATACACAAGACATGTATAAATCTCAGATCTAATGGGCTGAATGGAAGAAGCTTGACAGAAACATGCACACCATATGATTCAATAGACGTAAACTTCCAGACTAAGCAAGAGATCTGTGGTGGGTGCTTCACACTGGGAGGGATTGACTGGGGAGGGAGATGAGATGTTTTCTGTTCCTGAAAATGCTCTGTGCCTTGGAGGATACTCTAGGAACCTCATGGAAGAGCCCACCAAGATCCGAGCATTTCAGTGTGTAAGTTACATATTTAAAAAAAATTTCCCGTGTGAAATTGGATAATTTTGCCAGCTTTGAGAGCAAATCTGAAACTTGAAGTTGCCTCCACAAGGGAATTTCCAGGGAAAAGAGCAGGTCCTGTGAACCCCACAGAACAACCGGCTCTGTCTGCCCTGGCCCTGTGCAGTTTCCCAGCCCCGCAGCTTCCTCTGGCTGTGGACTGTGGACTGGTGGACCCGGCAGTGTGGCTGCTCTCTGGGGAAAGATGGCTGCTCTTGGAAGATCTAGAGAGAGAGAAGTACATGCCAGCTGGGGTGGTTGGCTTTATGAGTCAGCCTGGCTAGGCTGTAGTGCCCAGTTGTTAGGTCAACCAGTCTGTGTGTTGTTGTGAAGGTACTTTGTGGATCTGATCAGCATCTACAGTCAGGTGGCTTAAAAGAGACTATCCTTGACCATGTGGGTGGGCCTCCCCCAATCAGTTGGAGGTCGTAAGAGCCGAGACGGAGGTTTCCCAGAGAAGAAGCAATTCTGCCTCGAGACTGCACTGTAGGCACCCTGCCTGAGTTTCCAGCCAGCTGCCCTGTGGAATTCAGACCCAAGACAGTTACACCAGTTCCCACCTGGATTTCCAACCTGCTCTGTGGATTTCACACTGGCCATCCTCCACAATAATGTGAGACAATTCCTTAAAGTAAATCTCTCAGTCTCTCTCTTCTCTCTCTCTCTCTCTCTCTCTCTCTCTCTCTCTCTCTCTCTCTCTCTGTATATAATAATAATTATATATAGATATATGGAAGTATCTAGATTTACGTATCTCTATCTATAGATACAGGTATATAGAAAGATCTATATAGCAGCCTTTCCCTGTCTCTGTTATCTACCTATTTCATTCATCCACCCATCTACCCGTTCATATATATCCATCCACCACACCAGGTTCATGCCTAGACACGGAACCACATATCCCTGAATGATACGGGGCCCACTGGTCTGTGTCTTTGGAGACCCCAGACTAACACACCGGCTGTGTTGCCCTCTGCACCAGCACAGCATCCTGAGGCAGAGGAAGCAGGTGGCCTTGTGCAAAAGGTCATTATTTGGAAGGAAACATTCCTGAAATGATAGATGAGGGTGTCTTCCAGCTGGCATATTTGGGGACAGGGGCATTCATATTTATGCATCCAGATTCCCTAAAATGGGGGACTGTATTGCCTATCACATAATTCTTCATGAGGTACCTGTTCATTATTTCCTCCATGAAAAATAGTGGTCGGCTGCAAAATTGTGAAATGTAATCTCTCCATCTTGGGCTTTGTGGCTTTTTAATCATGCTGGGCCTCTTTCTGCTGAGGGCTATTATGCTGCTGATCACTCTAGTGTGAACTCAGCAGGTGGGTGAATGTCAGTTCTTAGTCATTTGGGGATTAATTGCTCAGTTGTAACTAGAATGCCTGGCTCTGGGGGATGGTCCACCCCACCTGGACCCTGCCACCCTGGTCCACACCAGCGCAACCCATGCACATGGCCTGACTCACGCTCCTGGCTACCCTGCCCCGGCCCTTCCTCTGGATGTACAGGTACACCTTGGAGAGACTGTGGTTCGGTTCCACATCACCAAAATAAAGTTATCATCACAATAAAGCAAATCAAATGAATCTTTTGGTTTCCCAGTGCATGAAAGTTATGTTTATGCTATACTGGAGCCTATTAAGTGTGCAATCACATTATGTCTAAAAAACAATAGACATAACTTAATTAAAATGTGCCCTGTTGCATAAAAATGCTAACCACCATCTGAGCTTTCAACAAGTCATAATTACTGATCACAGATCATCATAACAAATACAATGATAATGGAAGAGTTTGAAATATTGGGAGAATTACTGAAATGTGACAGAGACACAAGCAAGCAAATGCTCTTGAAAAAAATGGTGCCATAGACTTGCTCAGTGCAGGGTTGTCCCAAAGCCCTTCCCTCCTGCATCCTCAGGTCAGAAGCTCCTTTCTGACCCATAGTCACACCATTGCCTTTCAAAAGCCACACTGTCCTCTGCCTCTCACGGGGCGCACTGGGCAGGTTGTAGAATCCCATGATGGGTCCCTGCTCAATGTGTCCAATGGTGCAGTTGTTCTCTGCACATAACGGAAGCAACTGCATCCAGGCTGGGATGGGCCACAGGTTGCAGAGCAGAAGGCAGGTGGGGAGAACTGGGGGAAGGTGGCAGGCAGAGCTGACTGGCGGTTCCTGCTGCAGCCCCTGCTGGACCCATGCTGTCTCCCAGCACAGCCTGGGGCTCACCCCTCTGCACCTTCCTCTCCCCCAGCCTCAGGCTGCCTCCCCGCCCCTGTCCCTCAGTTCTGCATTGAAGGCCCTTCCTCTACTTCCTTGCTCCACCTGCTGCTCTCCCAGTGGCTGTCACCTGGAGCACCAGGCTAGGATTGTGTTTGGGAACAGCCCAGGAAACATAAAGACATCAATAGTTTTTCCAATGATCTGAAAATAGCATGTGACACTGGCTTCCTAGGAGCAATAATAGTTTCTTCTAGGATTGGAAGGAAAGAGACTGGAGGAGAAGGTGCAGGGTGTGACCCTCATGCAGGGCAAGCATGGGGAAAATGCATGCGGGGCTCTGGACTCAGGTGCCACTCAGCTCCTAGAACGCACGTCTAATGTATCTGTTTTCCTGGGATCAGAAAGTTGCTCAAAAAAATCGTTAAGTCAAAAAGGACCAAATATACTAAAATTGGATAAACTTGCAGTACTATAATAAAAATCAATATGCTGCCAATAATTTCAGAAACAATACCAGCTTCCAGGAATAAGTATTTATGAGGTAAGTATTTATGCATTGTCAAGGATCTTGTGGAATGATTTAATGGCATATATTCTGTTCATTCATTTTATTGTTTCTGGGCTCTGACCCCAAATGTGGCCAAAGTGTTTATGGGAGGTGTCATGAGAACGATTCTCCCCATAGCTAAAAACATACATTTGAGGATTATCACAGACTCCAAAGTCATGCTGAGGTAAAGGAAGCCAATACTCTATTATAATTGTAAAGACAGATGGAGGCAATGGGAAGCCTTTGTGCCAGCCATGTTCTCCTGGCTTTACAGATGGTGCGAAGAGGTGAAGAACGTGCCACTCCGAGGCCAGACCATGGAGCCGGAGGCCTGCGCAGCCCCTGACCGGCCTGCGACTCCCTCCTGCCCAGATCCCTCTGACTGTGAGCCTCACTTGCCATATTTGTGGAAGAGACGACAGCAGGACTCCCCAAAGGTTGCTTGAGAACTGGAGCTGGTAGGTGCAGAAGTGTTTAGCATGGCACCAATGTGCCGCTAGCACACAATGAATGTTAGCTTCTCTGTGTTTGATTTAGCCTTTTCATCTTCATTTTAAAAATGGAAAATTTTAAACCAGCCTTGCCTTCCCCAAAGATCAGAGCCTGGGGAAAGGGTTACTATATGCTGGTTCAGTACTGTGGCGTGAGGCCAGGGATACCAGGGTGCTGCTTCATCTGCCGGGACTGCCATAACAAATAACATGGAATTAAACAACACACATGTACCTCATGTAATTCTGGAGGTCAAGGTGCCAGCAGACCCAGGAAGGGCCACTTCCTGGTTTGCAGATGGCTGTCTTCTTGCTGTATCTTCCCATGCCAGATGAGAGGCAGAGTGAGGAGGCGCGCTCTGTGGAGTCTCCTCTAAGGACACCTGTCCCGTCATGCATCCCCACCCTCACGACCTCAGGCATACCTATTTACTTTCCAAAGACTCCATCTCATTGGATTAGGCTTCAACACGTGGGTGTGGGGCTGGGGGTGATGCGTATCCAGTGTGCAGCAGGTCGGAAGCATTGCCAGGGAGAGCCATTGCCAGGTAGGGAGATGCTCAGCAGGTGGACCTGCTCTGCTCTGTGGGATCACTCCAGACCACGGAGCAGAGAAAGGAGAAGTGTGGGCTCCTGAGTCTTGGTTCGCACTGCCGGCCAAACATTCCCCCAAGTCCTTGTGATTGCACTTCCCTGGGGCAGATGTGTGGGAACCAGATCCCATGCATTTGATGTCTTCAGGAAGTGGTGGCAGTGCCAGAAGACAGGGCAGGCAGCTGGTCAGCTCCGCTGCTCAGCATCAGGCCAGAGGTGCTGTGCCAGAGACGGGCTGTCTGGACAGGCAGCTGGGGGCCCCAGGAGGATCAGGAGATGCTCAGGACAAGCCAGAGGCTGAGGGGCTGGTGATGTGGCAGCGACAAGAGGCGTGTGAGCAGTGGGGTGGCTGCAGAGAACCCAAGAGTTTGCCCAGAGGGGTTCTGCACTGAGCTGTGATGGCACCGAGATTTCAGCCCTGGCCACTCCACCTGCGCCCTACTCTCCGCTAGGAGCCCAGGGAAGATCTCTCTTGGTAGCACTAAGGGCTGCACCTGTGGGTTGGGCGTGCGTGCTCTGGGGCCACGTCCCCCTGCCCGTCGGTGCAGGTGGGTCAGGTGTGCTGACCCCAGAGGCAGTGCTTTCCTGGGGCTGGGAGGACCTCTGCCTGGAGCTGACCCCTCTCCCACGCTGGACAGCCGAGGCCAGGAGAGCAGAACAGAGTCGAGGAGGGGGGAGATGGGCACTCCCCAAGTGTAGTCGTGAGCCAGTACACTGCCATTTCATACAGGGGTTTCAGGTCTTGCAAGATCCATCCTGACAAATGGTCTCCTCTTTTTTGTCACAGGCCTGAGCAGCAGGTGCCTCCCTGGGAGACAATTGTCACAATTTTATACCATTTGGGAGAAATAGGTCCAGAAGAGTTTTCAAATAAGTACAAATTATCACCTAATAAACAGATGTGCCATGTATATATAAAGATCCCTACTAGGAGAACAAAATATTTTAGCCCGTGTTTTCTCTCCACAGATCTGGAAAATGTTAACAGTTCCACCTAATGCATGGATCCGTAAAGGCCCAAGATGGGGAGCATTAGGACTGACCTTCCTGTGCCTGGCCGCCCAGCTGCCATCACCCCACCGATGAGGTGTGCCCCTTGCAATCGGTGAGCACTATCTGAGGGGTCCTAAGAAAGCCATGAGTGTCTCGTTTGACAAATGTTAAGTTTCTGACCAATCGTCTTGGAGGCTGGCAGAGTGCCCTTGCCTGTTTGGGATGGAACTCTGCCCCGACCCACATGGCGTGACTGGGATCCACATGCACACCACTCTGTGCTGGGTCAAATTCCACTGTAAGGAGTAGACTCTTCTCACTGTTGTATAATGATGCTGTGGTTTGCTCTTCATACATAACTCCTAAAGCTCCCTGCCCATCAGAATCAGTAGAATTCTGAAGCTTGAACCCAAAAGAGATGGAATATATCTTGCCACCTTTATTTATGCATTGGACCGTGTATGTACACACATGTATTTCATATCTTCTTAACCATTCACCCATTGATAGACACGTGGGGTGTTTCCACATAATGGCTATGTGCACGGTGCTGCACTGACCTGGGGGTGCTGACATCGCCTCAAGATCTGGCTTTCAATTCCTTTGGATAAATGCCCAGAAGTACAATTGCTGTATCATATGGTAGCTTTAATTTTAAATAAAATTTTAGCATTTCTGGCTCTGTGACCTGGCAGCCATGAGATGAAAAAGCAATTGATGTTCAGGTGATGCTGGTTTCATGGCTTAATCTATAAGCCATGTGGGGGCGATTCAGAAATATTTGCAACGCTGTGAGGTGAGTGGAGAGAGGGCCTGATGGTCAGCACGCAGTTTGGATTCCTCCTGTGTGGCCTTGGTTAAACGGCTATTCCTCTCTGAGTCTCAGATTCTTCATGCATACACTGAGGCCAATAGCACCTCCGTTGCTGTTGGTGTAACAGATGCTTCAATCATGTCAGTTTTCTGAGGCCATGTCACATTAGAACTGTGGGTCTCTTATACAGGGCTCTGGGCCACAGGAACTGAAGCCATCACTCACTGGGTTCACAGGTCTGAGCTTCCTCCTGGGCCGTGTGACATAGCCGGGCATGGCTGTAGGATCTCAGTCCTGCCCATAATACAACTATCCACATGCTGTTCCTCTGAGCACCCTGTCATCTGCACATTGATCAGTGAGCGCTAGGTCCTGGCCAGTGATATTGATGAAAAGGCTGTGGGCAGGGCCTGGCCAACACTGGCCATCGATGGGCCTCTTCCAGTGGGGACAGCGGCACAGGGCTGGTGGGAGCCCTGGAGGGCCCTCAGCTGTTTAGGGCCAGCATCCCTGGTGGTGCTGATGTCACAGTACCAAATCTTCCCAATGTGGCATCTCTCAGGATGAGCAATCTCGTTGCTGCTCTCACACAGTCCATCCTCATTAACTGTGGTGCAATAGCCCACCTGCTGATGTTTATTTGTTCCCCATCTCAGGGCTTCCATGACCATGTGCAGACATGCCTGCAGCAGCAAAGAATTCCAGTTCCTGACACACACACGTCCAGAGAAGGAGGAACAAGGCACACCTAGCCTTCTCATGTCAGCTCTCACCCTGCAGGTGGCCTTTGCATGATCATTTTGTGCTTTTTGTTGGCGATTTTGCTGTTTACAGTGCTTCCCAAGTGTTGTGAAGTGCTACGTCCCTAAGCACAAGAAGGTTGCAGCTGAACCTCACAACAAAGTACATGTGTTAGAGGAGCTTCCCTCAGGCGTGAGTTTAATATTGATGAGTCAGTGGTATAATGAACGAGGTGCCTAAACAGAAACACACATAAAACAAGGTTGTGTATTGAGTGTTGCTGAGTGCATCTGGGGAGGTCTCTCCCGGCACACTAGGAGAAACCTGGATTGGGGAGGGTTCTTGACTCTGAATGAGAAAGAATTCTCGAGCAGGTCAGGCGAGTGCAGGTAAGGAAGGAATTCATTAGAGTGAGAGCAGCAGGGAATGGGGCTGCCTTGCAGGCAGCAGAGAACAGGAATGGGAAGAGGGAAAGAGGGAGAGTTCTTGGCCCTGGGCAGATTGATTCCCTTGCAGACTCCTGAAGCCAGGGTCACCTGGTGTCCCGTGTCTGCTTGGATCTGCACAGCATGGGGACTGAACCCCTACCACCCCAGGATTTGGGGAGCTGTGGGGCATGGGATGGAATGAAATTATGTTCTGAGAATGTTCCAAAGAAGGGAGATTTTCAGGCAGGCTACTAACAGCAGGTCTCACAGCCGCAGCTCTGCCCAGGTCCCCCAGGCCACGGAACCATGCAGGCCCAAATCAGAGCTCTCAGTAGCTCCTCCCCACTTATCAGGAGTAAAGCAGAGACAGAGTGAAGACTTGGAAATAAAATGACATGGCAAAGAGACCAACCACAGTAATTTGAGCAGTGAGAAAGATTTATTTAAAAGTATGCACTTAAAGAAAGAAAAGTACAGACACCCTCAGAGAGGGGAGGTGCACTGAAAGGTCAGGGATTCTCTTTGAAGGCTCTCAGGAATGGGCAAAGGCTGGAGTGGGGGTTGTTGGGCATGGGCTTGACTGTGGTCTCACCATGTCTGTCTCCAGTGACTCCTCCACAGTCAGTCCTCTGGGTAATTCTGTAGGAGAAACTTCACACAAGGGATTTATTGATCTTGTTCTTCTCCAAGAAAGTGGTGACCCCCAAGCAGTGGGGACATATCAGTTAAGACTGCCTGCCCTGCCTTAGGATTGGGCGGGTTATTGTCTAATTATCAAAGAATATGTTAGGAGTCTTACGTCTCAACTCTATAAAAATAGAATCTTAGCCTTACAGTGGGGTCCCTCCTGTTCTTACTGCACTGTTTATATCTCAGCATTTCATCATAGGCAGGAAAAGTTAATCATGATGCTTGTCCCATGTCCCTGCCCCACCTCAAGAGGCTGACAAAAATGTGGTCAGAAACCTAACCCTGTGTTTCCCCAGAGCGGACTCAGCACCCTCCACTTCCGGGTTCCTGGCGGCTTACAAAATGAGCTGCTGCTGGATTACGGCCCAGACCAGCATCAGCAATGAGGCCCTTGGCCAAAGCTGGCCCATCTTCTGCACAGCCACACGCATCATTTAAAACAGTCATACCTGGGGCTGACTTTGCACTACACTACCCCACCTGAGGAGTTGTGACAGAGACCATCTAGCTTTAGAGCCCAAATATTTAGTATCTGGTTCCATTCAGAAAGTCTGCTGACCAAACTTCTCCATCTTGAATGCAACCATACAATATGGCTGCCAGAGAATCCGGTACCTTTGTCTGCTGGCCGAGTCTGGGCCTGGGGCCCTGAGAAGGGCCCGCAGGGTGGTGTGGTGCAGGGGACTGGTGAGAGGGACCTCTGACCCTGGCTCTACTCCCACCTTGCTCCTGACCTTGTGACCCCTGATTTCAAATCTCAGCTCTTTTGTTCAGTGGCCTTGGGCTGGCTGTTCATACTTCCCATGTCTCAGTTCCCTCATTCAGTGTTAAAACCCAGATACGTGATGGTGGCTTCTTCAGTTCCTGTTAGTATAATCCTGTCAAAAGAGGGAAATGGGGCTATTTTAATTGAACTGCTTACCGCTAGGATCCATGTGTTCACCCAAATGACTGATGCTGTGGGGGGTCCATCCAATATCTATTTCCTTTTCAACTGCAGTTGGCAGAATAATGACACCCTCCACTGCACCAAGATGTCCAAGAGCAAATTCCTGGAACCTGTGAATATGTCACCTTACTTGGCAGAGGGTAGTTTACGTTGCAGATGATGTGGGGCAGGGACATGAGGCAAACACATGGTTAACTTTTCCTGCCTATCACGAATAAAACTGGGAAATAAACTGTATAGCAAGAACAGGAAAGTTACCATCTTAAAGCTAAGATTCCACCTTAAAACCAGGAAGTTAGGAAGTAAGATTCCTCACATATTCTTTCGCAAACAGACAATAACTCAGCCACCCCTAGGGGCAGGGCAGGTGGACTTGATTAATATGTTCCCAGAGGAAAGCTGCTCTCTTGGGGAGGACTAGTCAGGAAATTTCTTGTGTTGTTAATTTTGCAGAATTACTTAGAGGACTGGTAACACAAAAGAAGAGACTTAATGTCTCTCACCAGAGATAAGCATTTTGAGACCACTTTACATGTTTACAGCCCCTGACCTTCTGAAAAATCCTTAAAAGAGGGAAGGAACCCCCCAGCCTTTTAGCACCCCTAGTTTCTGAGGACACCCACATTTTTTCTCTCTTTAAATGCGTATCTTTAAATAAAGCTTTCTCATTGCTCAACGTACTGCATTTTGTCTTTTTGCTATTTCATTCTATTTCCAAGTCTCCATTTTACCCCTGATAAGCAGGGAGGGGCTGCAGAGAGCTCAGATTCAGGCCTGCAAACTCCCGTTGCCTGGATGACCTGGACAGAACTGCAGCTGCAGGAGCCCCCTGAAAATCTCCCTTCTTTGGGATGTTCTCAGAACATAATCTCCCTCCGTCCCAGGCCCCGTGGCTCCCCACACCCCACAGTGGTGGGGGCCAGTCCCCACGCAGTGCAGAGCCAAGCGGACACAGGACGCAGGTGACACAGGCCCATATCAAAATGTTTTTGTACTTTTTTTTCCCTAATGCTGTTTATCTAAAATGTGTGCTCTAACCTCTAGGAAACAATGAGCTGATAAACGAGGTGGCAATTCCATCACAGCGACATCGCAGGTCAGGAATCAGCAACCTTTACTCTCTCTGTGTGTGCTGAGCAGCAGCATCTGGGCAGGCTCTCCCCAAGCACCAGGTGAAACCTCAGCCCAGACCCGTGAGGGTCCTTGACTCTGAACAAGAAAGAATTCTCAAGCAGGTTGGGCAAGTGCAGGTAAGGAAGGAATTCATCTTTGTTAATGACTCGCGCCTGGGCCTCTCCTTGGTGTTGGTTTAATTCTCAGACACACCTGCCCTGGAACCCCATCAAGCCGAGTCACATCTGGCGCTCCTCATACTCAACTCCAAGCGAGCTCTGACTGAGCCTCAGAATCCTTCTCGACACAGTGCCCCACACAGCCGCCTGGCCTTTATCTCCATTCTCCGTTCTCTTTTGGCCTCTCGTTTCCCCTCCGCCCCCCCACCCACCTCCCTCTGTCTCACTCTCCCCCAGGCCCCATGCCCACACCTTCGGTTCCCTCTCCTGTCATTCCAGCTGCCCTTGTTGTCATTCCATATCTGCCTGCACCTGTGAGGAAAATAAAACTATGGGTCTTATGCTTCAAATTAATAGTTTCCTTCATTATAAAATTTAGTTTGGCTGGAGAGGGCACAGTGACACGGGCATGCTCATGTATTATTGGCACCACTCTAAATGGTTATGATTCTTTGAAAATAAATTTGACAATATGCTCTCAGGGCCTTACATCATTATCCTCTTAAACCCAGTAATTGAACTTTTGAAAATCTATCTCATAAAACTCACCCAAACTCAAGCACCCCCACCCACTACACCAGCCCATTCCCAGGCTTCTCTAGTTTCATGGAGAGCGTGGGAGTGATCAGGAAAGGATGGCTGTGAGCATCCACCCCCAGCAGCTGTGCCGGGATGAATGTGGGCACTGGGAGGACATCAGGAGGGTGGCTGTCCCCTTTCTCCTTCAGGATCACCTTTGCTCTCTGCTGGATTGTTGCTTCCCATTGGCACTGGTCAAAAATCGCTTCCCTTTTCTCCCACTTTTCCCTCTAGCAGCTGCCCGCATTTTGCTCTTGACATCATGTACGTCAGGCTCTTGTCCCCACCACTCCAGTGGGCCCTGGCCGAGGTCACAGGAGGCGGCCCCCCATCGACATGCCGAGGCACTCCTGCGTGTGCACTCACCTGGCCCTCCTGCAGCAGGTGCTTGCAGCTGCCCCCTTCCCTTTGCAAGGCCGACCCCTTGGACTTCGGGACGCATGACCAGCTATCATGACCAGCTTCCCTCCTGCCTCCACGATTTCCCTGAAGCCTCCTTTGTGGAATCCTTTTCTTGTCCTTGACTGCAAAGCCCTCGCATGCCTCCGGTTCCGTCCTCAACTTCTTCCCTTCTCCATCTATCCTGAACTCTCCTGGGTTTAAACATCCTATGACTGCTGTTGGTTCACAGTTTATAGCTCCAGCCCTGATCAATATCCTGAACTCAGGCTTTGACACCTGGCTAGCTGTACCACGATGGGCACCGGAGATGTGGGGGGTGCAGGTAGGGCTGAGCGTGCCAGGGCTGCCGTCCCCTGCTCTCCCTGTCATAGGAAATGGCAGCTTCCCCCTCCCCTGCCCGGGCTCAGGAACCCAGGGTGATGGCTCAGCAGTAGCGAGGGGCATGCTCTTGACACACACCCCAGGCCTGGCTACTTTGCCCAGGCCCACCGGCTCCCCTCTCTGGCCATGCGCCAACTCCAACCTGCACCACTACAGACCCCTCCCAACTGCTCGGCTGCTCCCCTTGCTCCGCCCCTTCCAGTGCAGCAGCCAGAGGAGTCAGCCAAAACCCAAGCCCCATCACAGCACTTCCCTGTCTAAGACCTCAGTGGTTTTCGTGTTACTTGGAGTGAAAGCAAGTTCTTACATTGCACTGCCACACCCCGTGGTATTCAGCCCCATGCCACCCACGTGACTTCCCCTTGCTGTACTCTACTCTGGCCAGGCCAGCCTCCCTGCTTGTTGGCCTCCCTGTGTCCTGCCTCCCTCCACACCAGCCTTCCTCCATGCTGGCATCCCTGCTTGTCCTCAAACCTGCCGGCTCCCACCTGACCCTCAGGACTCGGCCTCTGCTACTCCCCCTGCCTGATGTCCCACAGGGGCATGCTCTGCCTCCTGCCCCTCCCCCCTCAGGCATCCCTGAAACCCCGTCTTCTCAGGGGTGCCTCTCTGGACCGTGGGTCCGCTATCTCCCCTTTGCTTTCTCCTGACCACCTTCACCACACAGCACATGACCCGTTTGTTTGTTTCTCTTGCTGGTCATGTCCCCCACTAGGATGGGATATCTGCAGGGTGGACATTGTATGAAGCCGGCTCAGTGCTGGTCTCCAGAAGAGGCATCATATCATGGGTGCTCAGGGCGTTGGCTGGGTGGGTGGGGAACGCTCACAAAGGCCCTGGGGGTTAGAAGGCACCAAGGACTTTGTTCCCCATCACTTCCTCCTCAAGGTGCTTTTCCCGGAGGTGAGCTGTAGGGCTTGGCCTTCCCGATGCTCAGAGCTCATTGGCCTCGCTTGGGAGTGTCCGGAGCACCATGCCCACCCCAATTCCATAGTAGAAATAGCTCTCCTGGAGGTCGGGGGCTAAGCTGGGACTCTTGACAGTCAAGTTTACAAAATGAGAAAGGAAATACTCCCCCCAGACACAGCCTGGCCTGACTCCCAGTGCCGTTGGGGCTCAGAGCTCTAGGTGGTGACTGGCCTGGGCTGTCTGGTGCTTGGGGACAGAGCCCACCTGCCATGCTGCAGCGTGGGCCTGGCCTCTGTAGGGGAGTGCAGTGTGGTGTCGCATAAAGGCCCATTGTGCCTCCTCCACACTGTGTCTGACTGTGCTGGGCGAAGGGGCTTCTGCACTGGGTTCACATTTGTTTGTCCCTATCTGAGGCAAAGCTGGCTTTAGTCTTGATGGAATTTCTACAGTCAAAAGATGAACCGAGCCACAGGACCCTAAATCCCACACAATCAAGTCCCTTCATTTTACATACAAGGAAACAGGCCCAGCAAGGTGCCTGCAGGCTTGCCCAGGGTGATGAGGCTCGTGAAGATTTTAATGCCTGATGAGGAAATGTTCTCTGAGCTGTCGCTTGGCAGGTTGCCCTGGCCCTGTCCTTTAACTGCGTCTCTGACCTTCCCCCTGAGCTTTCTAGAAAGCCGGCAGAGGACACCGTAAGGTGGGTGTTTGTAGTTTGCTCCTGCCAAAGAAGCCATGATTGACTCCAGCCATTGGTACAGGCCTGGCTGCAGCCTCTTTGCCTCAGAGGAACTTGACAGTAACTGTGCCCATAATGGTGGGGGTGGTGGTGGTGGTGGCAAGGCCTTGCAGCTGAAATGGTAGCCCTTTTCTTAGCTGGAGAGCATGCCGACGTAGGGGCGCAAAGAACTGGCCACTCTCTGGGGACGCAGGACTGCGGTTCACAGTGTGCATCAAACCCATGGGCCTGCGCCCGCAGCTCTGCCGTCTGTGTACTCCTGTGAGCCTGAGCGGGTCGCTTCACCCCATTTCCAGCTTCCCCTCAGTATCCTCAAGCCCACCTCCGGACTCTTGTGCGGGTCTGACAAGGTAGTGCAGTTGTGCACTCAGGACATTACAATGCTGCCCTTAACAAATGGTAGCTATTTTTAGTTTGAGTATTCAGTCTTAGGAAGTCACATTGTTATTTGTGCTATTTGTCCCCACCATGACAAAGAATTGAAAGGCAGAAACACACTTGCAAAGCAGAGGGAAAAGTTTATTTGAATACACTGCAAGGGAGGAGCGGGCCAGAGTCAAGACAGATGAAGGCCCCCGCCCATTAGGTGGGAGGCCTTCATATTATATTCTGGCTGGGAGGCGCCTCTTTAACTGACAAGGTGGGGTTATTTGATTGACAGCCCACCTGTACAGCCATCCCTGTCAGTGTGCAGCCTTTCCAATGATGTGGCATGGTCTGGGCAGCTTAGTGCTGTTCAATTGTGCCCACGTTGGGATCAGGTTGGGACCGGCTTGGCCTGGTTCTGATAAGCAAGTAAGTTATCTCCCTGCAGAGCCTCTGTTGTCTTCTCATGGGACCCTCCACACTCCATGGGCAGAGTTTGGGCCGATTTTTCTTTGAATCTTATCATGCTTCCCTGGCTGCTCGTGTCTGTCTTTCTACCTGACGTTCCTAACCACTTAGCCTTCTCCCCATGCCTCTGTTTTCTCTTTCTATTAGGTCACCACTCATTGGGGTAGAACCCAGCTGTAACTTCAGGGCAGGGGGAGATCTTTCTCTCAGCCTGGGGCAAATTACCTTTGAAACCAAAATCAGTCAGAGGGAGAAATAAAGTGGGAGAAACCCAATTATTGCTTACAAGTGCCCGGTCGTCCACTTCCACTTGCCCATGTCTCTCACCACCCGGCTGCAAAAAGGGGCCCCACCCAACCTCTCTGGTCCAGATATACCCTCGTCCCCCTCCCCCTTGTAATCACATACTGATATGGAGAAGGACTACTTCTCTCCACCCTTGGAAACACCTATTGATATGGAGATGCAAGAGATTCTGGAAATACTGCCATTTTATCCACACTAGCTTAATCCAAAATGACCTCACTTTAACTCATTACATCTGCAAGGACCCTTTTTTCAAATAAAGTCCTATTATGAGGTTCAGGGAAGACATGAATTTTGGGGAGATACTCTCCTACCAGTATAGACCTGGTAAATACTTACCTTCTCAGGCTCAGGTCCTAGGTTCTGATCCCTAAGCTCTGCCTATCTGGTTCAACTGACTGACGTTTTTGCAATGAAAACTCCCCTGAGGTATTAATGAGTTTGGTGCTAAGAGTCGTTTGAAAATCACAAAACAGATAAAGAGATGGCAAAGTTATGCTTCACCCACATAAATAAGCTTTAAAAAAGTAAAGTGTTAACGTGGAAATAGGGTTATTTTTTTCTGGTGTAGTTGGGTGAAGGAACACTTTAGACACCCAGCAACAATATCTGTCTTTGGTAAAGTTGTGAGACTTGAATATCTGCAAGCCCTCAAATGCCTTCTCTCAGCCGTGCCCAGACAGATCATCTCTCTCCCTGGCTCATCATGGAGACGTGTCAGCCTGTACTGGCGGCGTTCCTGGGCCTTGGTCCCTTCAGGTTTCTCCCTGGGGGCAATCAAAGAGGACAATGTGTGTCCTAA